ATATAACGGACTCTTTGTAGCCCAATGCCAAAACTCTGCTGCCTTGCCATAAGGTTTTGAACCAAAGACTTTGGTTAAGGACCCTAATCGTTCTGTCTAGGCCTGAGCGAACTAACAGTATCCTGCCCACGCAATGCAACACAATGACATGGTCCTTCCCTATCCTGCTCCAATAGTCGCCTTTCTTCTAGTTTCAACTCACACGCAATCGCAGTGCGTCACTACAATCCAGTCGACAAGCCCATGTTCCACCAAACGGACAACGTCAATTCATCCGTTTTTTGGTGTCCTCGATCCTCGCTAAGACTGACATACCTCAACCTGCGTAGTTTGCTACAGATTGGCGAACAGGCTTATCGAAAATACGCCTGCAAGAATCGAGCTCTGTGCTTATCATGCAGTTCCCCACATGCGACATTGGCGGCACATTCTTATTGCGCCTGTCTGGTGATGACGCATCTTCAAATGCTGATCAAGCTGGCGTCTGCATTATATTGAGTCCCCGGGCTGAAGCTGTCCTGATCGATTGGATCCCGTTCAACAGCCGGATGTGCGCCGTTAGGTTAGCTGCTTCTTTCCAAGCTTCGAAATCGCTCGGGGACAAACGGTGCCTGCTTGCATTTGCGGCCTATGCCCATACAAACTGTTGCGTGGCTCGGTGAAAGATCATTTTCATTACCAGTTTACAGATCTTTGTTACAGATAAAGTACGGATACCGTAGTGCTTGCTGATGATCTGAACGCCTAAGTCGAAAAATTGTCCTCTTATGAGCTTCATCTGGGCGGCCAACATGGTGTAGGCTCCAGTAATAATAACGTTAAGCGATTTCTACACCTGTGTGAAGATGCTCCTCTCTCGCGAGCACTAACTTTCGACACAACACCCGCAAATGGGTGATTTGGGCCCCCTTGGCTCGACCGTGGACGCAAATCGATCCCATCGCGATCATTTACTGCTGGAGAGGCTGCGTCCAAAACTGTCGCTCGATTTGGAGCACGAGCGTGAACTCCGAGCACGCTGTTATGTGTGCCGATCTTCGGGTGTGTTTCAGCGGACGTACGCAACGTCGCTCTGATTGCGTTGATACCAGACAACTGCCATAGCCAAATGTATTCAATGCGTATCAAAGTACGCTGACATCCGACTTGAGTAAGCGCCCACAGACCACCGTTGACAAACACTTCCGCATATTCGCCAGACGTTGCTATCATCTGGCATGTCTTCATGTGGCAAATCAAACTGCCAAACTGGACCTTGGGTCTCTATGCAGTCTCTGGTGTTTTTGGATGCTTGCCGACGTATTCCGGCTGGAAGCGAACACGAGACTCGCGAAAATCTCAGGACAAACTGCGTCCTAGTCTTAAGAGAGTTCGCGAATCCTGGTAGTCTCTCTAAAAGTCGGTCCTTCAGGGACAAAACGTATATTCTGCAAACAAAAGGACCAAACGAAAACGCAGGCAAAGGGCGAGTGAAACATATCGGTATATACAGCTAGTTGGATCCATAATTAACGACCTTTGTGAATGCATGACATTTTTCCTTTGATTCAGTCAAACAAACTCGCTCCAATGCGTCCAACTGTTGGCCAATCAGCGTGCATACGAGAAACGTGTGAACGTCCAAGCAGCTGCCGCCTTTCCTTGCGGCAGCCTAACGGATTCCTTGCTGGGCTGGCACCGCACGTTCGTTCGAGTGTATACTCCCATCACATCCTCCCTTTTTTCATGTTCTTGCTGCTGTACTTCGCTAAATAGTCCATACACTTTACCACTCCGCGTCCTCTTTGTTGGATCTGCCGATGTCGCCTCATTGCCGCACGCAGTATAACGCTCCCCCCCCTGATTCATGCTGTCGCCTCGGACATCTCCTCAGCTGTACTCGGTTTCTTCTCAGCTTCTTCCTTCCAACATTTACTTCGTATGACCTTTCACCGACTTTCACAGCCACGACTCCTTTTCTCCACCGCTTCTGTCCATCGGGAATTGGTTCAACCCATACTTCTTCCCCCACTCTCAGCTCAGGTAATTCCCGTGCGCCGTTGTCGTAGTACCGTTTCTGAGTAGCCATTCGCCTTTTCAAACTGTTCTGTACTTTCTCAAGTTGTGGCGTGACAGGGCGCAGAAATGTTGCGGATGCAGGCATCACAGTGTTGGTCCTTCGACTGCATAGGCGCTGCACTGGGCTCAGGCCGATATCCGTTGAAGGAGTGTTGCGACTCTCCAGTAGCATGAGGTACGGGTCCTCCCGAGTATCTCTAGCCTTCGCTAATAGTCGCTTGGCTGGCTTCACTGCCGACTCTGCCTTCCCATTTGATTGACTGTGATAGGGACTGGTATGCCGGTGTGCGAGTTCCCATTTGGTTGCGAAAGCCTGGAATGCCCTGCTGCTGAACTGGGGCCCGTTGTCCGAGACTAGCTCCTCCGGTATCCCGTGCCGTGCGAATTGACACCTGAGTTTGTTGATTACTGCCTCCGTGGTCGTGGTGGTGAGTAAATCGATTTCAAAGTAATCACTATAGTAGTCCACTGTGAGTAAGTAATCCTTTCCGTTGTCCCAGAATAGATCCACTGCTACCTATTGCCACGGTCGGTCCGGAGCATCATGCAGCATCTTCGGTTCCTTCGATTGCCCAATGTCGTGCGAACGGCACGCCTCACAGTTAGACACATGATCCTTGATCTGACCTGTCATTCCTGGCCAGAACATCAGTTCTCTTGCTCGATTAATGGTGTAATTTGCACCCAGCTGAGCGCGATGGACATGCTCCAGCATCTCCTTTTGGAGAGAAGAAAGAATTAGGATTCGACTTCCTATGAACAACAGACAGTCACAGACAGTGAGTTCGTCCCAAAAATTGAAGTAGGGTGTTAATTCCTTCGGCAGCTGCTTCTTTGTTTCTGGCCACCCATTGAGGATAACGTCTCGCAAAGCTGCAAAAGTTTGGTCTTCCTCCGTGAAATGCTTTATATCTTTCAAACGGTTTTCTGTCACTGCCAGATGCTGCACCATGCTAACTGTCTCGATCTCTTCTAGATGATGTTCGGCCACTGGCGGATGTGCTCTCGACTGGGTGTCCGCGACGAACATCTATGTGCCAGGTGTGTACACAATGTCAATATCATACTTTTGGAGCCGGATAAGCATCCGCTGCAGACGGCGAGGAAAGTTATTCAGTGGTTTAGTGGCTATCGACACCAACGGCTTATGATCAGTGTACACGGTTGTCTTTCTTCCAAAAGTATAATCATTGAAACGCTCCATGGCATAGACCACTGCCAGCATCTCTTTCTCGATCTGTGCGTACCGCTTCTCGGCCTCTGTGAGTGCTCGACTACGGAAATCCAAAGGTCTTCCGTTCTGCAACAGAACAGCACCTATTCCATTCTGGCTACTATCATACTGTACCTCCAATGGTTGTGCTGGATCGTAATATCCGAGTACGGGCGTATTACTGATAAGGTTCTTAATGGTTGCGAAAGCTAAATCCTGTTCCTTCCCCTGCTCCAATTTACTCCTTTGTGAGTTAACTGCCTAATCGGAGTCATGACATCAGCGAGTCCTGGTAGGAACCGGCTTAAATAATTCACCATACCGTTTAGGCGATGGACTGCCTTCACATTGTTAGGAGACGGCATCTCTTGTATCGCCTTAATCTTCCCTGGGTCAACCCTGATTCCGTCGGATGTTAACACATGCCCATGGAAAATCACCTCCTCTTTCCGCAGCTCTACTTCCTCACGTTTTAGCTTGATGTTCTTTTGCACGCAACGCCTCAGGAACCGGTGTAGCTTAGTGTCATGCTCTTCTTGGGTAGAACCGTAAATCAGAACGTACTCTGCCACACAGGTTACGCCATCTAAATCATCTATTGCTTGCACCAAACGCTTTTGGAAAATTTCGCTAGACACCTTCAGGCCAAACGGTAATCGCAGCCAAAGATAACATCCGAACGGTGTAGCAAATGTGGTGAGGAAACTGGATTCGTCGTCTAGAACAATGTGCGAGAATGCGGAAGAAAGGTCTACTTTCGGGAAAAACTTAGCTTTTGTCAAACGTGGTAAAACATCTTCTAACGTCGGTAGCTCATAATGTTCTCTACGCAGAGCCTCATTCGGTGGCTTCGGGTTTATACCTACGCGTAGTTCCCACCTCTGACAACCCTAAAATAAACGGTGTCCGTGTTCAAGGTGAGCAGAAACGAGCAGTTCTTTGGGTCAAACAGAAAGGAACTAACAGAGGGGAGAAAGTAGGGGGGGGGGAGGGGGGGGGGGGGAAAAAGAAAGGAGTGGGGGGGGGAGGGAAGGGGAGGGGATAAGAGGGCGGTGAGGGGGGGAGGGGGGGAGGAGGGGGGGGGGGGGCAGGGGGGGGGAGGGGGCGGGGGGGGGGGGAGAAAAAGATGGTGGAATATCTGGCGGGACGAGGGAGGGGTGTTTATAGAACACAGTTTTAGAAACTGCTAGTGGGATGGGCGCGGTGGGAGGGGCCAGATTGTAGGGGGGTAGTAATTGGGGTTGTATTGTGATTGTATGGTGGTTGTATGACATGTGTTATGTATTTAAAAATAGGAGACAATATGGAGGGAATTAGGTTGGAATTTAAGGGGATTGTAGTGTTTAGGTGGTGGTTAGGAAATTACATAGAGAAAGAAGGGCAAAGGGGAGGGAATGAGTTAGGTTGGAATGAGGGGGGAGGGATTTGAAGATAGGGAGGGAGTGTGTAGGGGTGTAGAATATTATGAAATAAAGTAGGGATGGGAGGGGGAGGGGGGATGGTAGGAAGTAATTTTGTGTGGAATGTTAGTGGTAATATAAGTTAGGAGAGATGGGGTGGGGGTGAGGGATAAGGGGGGGGGGGAAATGATTGGGGGATAAGGGGGGGATGAGATGTGATAGAGGGAAAAAAAGAGGTGGAGGGGTGGTGGGATAGATGGGGGTGAGGTGTGTTGATTGATGGGGTAGGATGGGGGGAGAGTATGGTGTGGGGAGGATATTGATTATTTATGGGTTGGGGGTGTGATTGTCTATTTTTGGGGGGGGGGGGTTGGGTTTTGTTTTGTGTTGGGGTGTTTTGTTGGTGGTTTGTGTGGGGGGGGGGGTGGTTTGGGTGGTGGGTTTTTGGTGTGTGTGTGGGGGGGGTTTTGGGGGTTTTGGTGGTGGGTGGGTTTGGGGGGGGGGTGGGGGTGGTCTCTAGGTGGGTTTGGGGTGGTTGGGGGGGGGTGGTGGTGGGGGTGGGGTGGGGGGGGGGGTGGGGGGGGTGGGGGTGGTGTGGGGGTTGGTGGGTGGGTGGGGGGGTGTGTTGGGGGGGGTTTGTGGGTTGGGGGGGGTGTTGGGGGGGGGGGGGGGGGGGGGGGGGGTGGTGTGTTGGGTGGGGGGGGGTGGGTTGTTGGTGGGTGTGGGTTGGGGTTGTGTTGGGGTTGGTGTGTGGTGGTTGGGTGTGGGGGGTTGGTTTGGGGGGTGGGGGGGGGGGGGGGGGGGTGGGTGGGTCCAAGGGGGGGGGGGGGGGGGGGGGGGGGGGGGGGGGGTGGGGGGGGGGGGGGGGGGGGGGGGTGGGGGGGGGGGGGGGGGGGGGGGGGGTGGGGGGGGGGGGGGGGGGGGGGGGGGGGGGGGGGGGGGGGGGGGGGGGGGGGGGGGGGGGGGATTGGGGGGGGGGGGGGGGGGGGGGGGGGGGGGGGGGGGGGGGGGGGGGGGGGGGGGGGGGGGGGGGGGGGGGGGGGGGGGACGGGGGGGGTGGGGGGGGGGGGGGGGGGGGGGGGGGGGGGGGGGGGGGGGGGGGGGGGGGGGGGGTGGGGGGGGGGGGGGGGGGGGGGGGGGGGGGGGGGGGGGGGGGGGGGGGGGGGGGGGGGGGGGGGGGGGGGGGGGGGGGGGGGGGGGGGGGGGGGGGGGGGGGGGGGGGGGGGGGGGGGGGGGGGGGGGGGGGGGGGGGGGGGGGGGGGGGGGGGGGGGGGGGGGGGGGGGGGGGGGGGGGGGGGGGGGGGGGTGGGGGGGGGGGGGGGGGGGGGGGGGGGTGGGTGGGTGATGGGTGGTGTTGTTGTGTGTGTTGTGGGTTTTGTGTGGTTTGTGTGTTGGATATGTTGGTTTGTGTTTGTGGTTATCATATTAGAGTGGAATGGGGGTAGATTGGATTGTGTTGTAGGGGGTTAATGTTATGAAAAGATTAATTTTGTGGATGGGGGTGAGTGATATAAATTAGAATGTTTGATGGGAGGTATAGGGAGGGAGGATTTTGGGGGTGTTTACTGGTTTAAGAATAGGATGTATAATATCTCGAGAATATGAGATTAGAGTGAGGTAGTAAGAAGAAAGAAGAGGGGTAGCAGAAAGTAGTATCAATAGGTAGGAAGGGAGCTTCATGTTATGAATCATATGAACTGGGAGCATTCTACTGAATTTCGCGTAAGAATTGGGGGTGTGCTGGATCGTAATATCCGAGTACGGGCGTATTACTGATAAGGTTCTTAATGGTTGCGAAAGCTAAATCCTGTTCCTTCCCCTGCTCCAATTTACTCCTTTGTGAGTTAACTGCCTAATCGGAGTCATGACATCAGCGAGTCCTGGTAGGAACCGGCTTAAATAATTCACCATACCGTTTAGGCGATGGACTGCCTTCACATTGTTAGGAGACGGCATCTCTTGTATCGCCTTAATCTTCCCTGGGTCAACCCTGATTCCGTCGGATGTTAACACATGCCCATGGAAAATCACCTCCTCTTTCCGCAGCTCTACTTCCTCACGTTTTAGCTTGATGTTCTTTTGCACGCAACGCCTCAGGAACCGGTGTAGCTTAGTGTCATGCTCTTCTTGGGTAGAACCGTAAATCAGAACGTACTCTGCCACACAGGTTACGCCATCTAAATCATCTATTGCTTGCACCAAACGCTTTTGGAAAATTTCGCTAGACACCTTCAGGCCAAACGGTAATCGCAGCCAAAGATAACATCCGAACGGTGTAGCAAATGTGGTGAGGAAACTGGATTCGTCGTCTAGAACAATGTGCGAGAATGCGGAAGAAAGGTCTACTTTCGGGAAAAACTTAGCTTTTGTCAAACGTGGTAAAACATCTTCTAACGTCGGTAGCTCATAATGTTCTCTACGCAGAGCCTCATTCGGTGGCTTCGGGTTTATACCTACGCGTAGTTCCCACCTCTGACACCAGGTAAAAAGTCGGTCCTTCAGGGACAAAACGTATATTCTGCAAACAAAAGGACCAAACGAAAACGCAGGCAAAGGGCGAGTGAAACATATCGGTATATACAGCTAGTTGGATCCATAATTAACGACCTTTGTGAATGCATGACATTTTTCCTTTGATTCAGTCAAACAAACTCGCTCCAATGCGTCCAACTGTTGGCCAATCAGCGTGCATACGAGAAACGTGTGAACGTCCAAGCAGCTGCCGCCTTTCCTTGCGGCAGCCTAACGGATTCCTTGCTAGGCTGGCACCGCACGTTCGTTCGAGTGTATACTCCCATCACAGTCTCTTCGTGCATCGGAAATGGAAACAACCGCTACCGTTGATAATCAACGTAAGTTATTCCATATGATACGGGAAACAGGCAGCAAGAAACTTGATGTTAGCGAAAGAATACGCGATGACAATGGACAGCCGATCCACATCCTATCAAAACACTTGGAGCGTTGAGCCGAACATTTTGCAAGACAATTTCACCAATCTGAGTTATCACCTTTTTCAAGCGTTGATTGTCTCTCTTCCTTCTTTCTCTTTGGATCCGCTCTCAGGTGCACAATTCGAACGTGAGATTGGACTGCCCGGTCCCAACTCCCCAACAAACACCACCCGAACGCCACCCCCCTCCCACGCGCGCAGCACTGCCGTCGCCCGCCACCCAAAGCCCCCCAACCACTACCCATACCCCCCGCTGAATGCGCCCACTACCCCCAACCCGCCGCGCCGATCCGCCCACTCACTCCCCTAACACTACCTCCCTCCAGCTCCCCTCTCAACGACCTACACGAATCCGCCGCCGCCCCCTTGCTTTACCTCACCCTGGCCCATATATATTATCGTAGGACCACAACGCCGCCCCCTGCGACACACCGCTGCTCCCAAGCGATGCCCCCCCAGACCCAACGGTCCGCCCATACCTCCCCCATCCGCGCCCGGAAGGCCATCCCCCTCTCCAACACCACCCCACCCCAACCTTCCCCATACCACCCCGCAACACCCCCTCACCCACCCTATCCAATGCACGCGCTGGGGGGGGGGGAGATCGCGCCCCAACACCCCCCCCGGGGCCCTCACCATAGCCCCGCACCCCAGACCTCCCGCCCATCGAGCCCATCCCCCCGACCCTCCGCGCGAGCACAATCTGCCACGCCTTCACACCCCAACGTCCCCCGCACACACCCCCTGCCCCATGACCGCCCCCCGCACCTCCATCACACCGCCCTCCCGCGCCACGACCCACACTACTTCACCCCCGAGGATCCCCCTGGCGCAGTTACGCCCCCCCTCCCATCGCCACAGCCTCCTCTACGCCTGACACAGACCCCACCGACCCACCTCCCCCAGGCCCCCCCAGGCAAACCGGGACGCAGAAACACCCACACCCCGACCCACCCCGCCCCGAAGCGCGCCACCCCCCGCCCCCCCTCAGTGACTAGCCTCGAACACCCCCAGGCCCCCAAGTACCCCCCCCCGACACCCGTTAGACGGCCCTACCTCCACGCTCCCCCCCGCAAGACCCGACGACCAACCCTCCACCCCCCCTTCCCGGGTGTCCCCCCGCAGGCTGAGCGACAGCAGCCCCTCCCCAGAAAAGCGACGCCCCCCCCTGCACCCTCACCCCCGACAATACCAACGCCAACCAAGATCCCCCGATCCCCACCCCCCCACGCGGCCCATCCACTGCCCCCGCCCAGCAGACCGCGTACGGCCGCCCCTGCCACACACCGCACCTCTCCCACCACGCTCTCGGAATGATTGCCGCGCTCAATCCGTGCCCCCCAAACGCCCTCGCCTGAGTACACCACGCCCGGCGACCCTCTGCCCGCCGGGCCAACCCGCCTCGCGCCAACCTGCCGGCCCACCACTCACGGAGGGCCCGCCGCCCCTCCCCCCGACCCGGTCTGCACGGCCCCACTCCTCCCCGGCCCCCCACCACTCCCCCCGACAGCGCATCGCACAGCGAACACCTCGAACCCACTACCCCCACCGCCGGTTGTCCGCCGGGAACCCCGCCCCCCCTCCCCTCAAGTTCCCCACTCGCGCTAGGGAGCGTCACGATAACGCCACACCCACAGGGATGCCACCCCGCGCAAGCGCCGCCTCATCCCCCCACGACCGCCACCCCAGTCCCTGACCACCCATACAGAGCCCTCCTGGGGCAGCGTGCCCAAGAGCCACCTCGCCGCCAGCCAGCCCCCCCCCCCCCCCCACCCCCCGCGCGCACCCCCACCGACCCCATATTTATGTTGGGGGGTGGCGGGGGGGGGGGGAGGGGGGGGGGGGGGGGGGGGGGGGGGGGGGGGGGGGGGGGGGGGGGAGGGGTGTGGGGGGGGGGGGGGGGGGGGGGGAGTTTTGTTTGGTTTTTGTTTTTTGTTTTTTTTTTTGTGTTTTGTTTTTTGAAAATAAAAAAAGAAAAAAACACCACCACCCCCCCCCCCCGCCCCGACCCACGCAAACTAACCCCATGACCCCACCCCGACCGCGCCCCCAGGGCGCAAGCTGACGGGCAACCAGGTAACCCCCCCCACGAAGGCCAACGGGCAACCCCCCCCTACGCCACCCACCCCGAAACCCCCGCTCCCCGCCCCACCCGGCCTATCGTAAACGAGGGGACGCACAACCACCCGCGGCCCCCACGCCCAGCCCCCACCTCCGCCTAACCCCCACCCCCTTGCCCTGCGACCTGTTCGGCTTGCACCCCCACACCCTCGCGTCGACCGTAGGCCCCTGAATCGCCGGTCACCCCACTCCCCCTCCACCCCCTCCCGGCTCACACCCCCCACCCGACCCCGCACGACATTGCCGTGCCGGCCCTAACACCCCGCACAGGCCCCTCCCCCAGGCCCTCTTGCGCCACCACACACCCCCAGCACACACACCGCCCGCGCGCCCACCATCACGCACACCCCACAAGCCGCATCCCCCCCCAGACGGGACACAGATTCCCCCCCGGCGCACAACATGACCGCCCCCCCCGCATGCCCAGCCGGTCACCATGACCTCCTGTCCCCGCCACGCACCCCCCCCACCCGACCCTCCTCTGCGCTCACGGGGTTCCCCCCATCCCCCGCGGCCCTCCCCGCGGCACCAGGGGCACAGTCCGGGGCGCAGCCCAAGGACTAGTCCCGGGCGGCCACCTTCCGGCACGCCCCGCCGGACCCCTCCCGCGTCCAAGGGACTCGCGGATCCCTGCACTACCACACCACAAGCCACCGGCCGGTCCGCAACCTCGCCGCCGCGCCCAAACCCCCGAGCACACCCCCCGCCCCACCCTACGTAGCCCTACCCCCCCTGCGCCGCTAAAACGCGCCCCCGCCCCCCCGTCACCCCCCCTACGCACGCTAAGAGCCCACCACTCACCCCCGACACGCACCCCCCCCCCCGCCGCCCACCCCCACGTGGGGCCCACCCCAGTCCACCCCTCCCGCGGAAACGCCCAGCCCCCAACCACCCGCGACGGACCGGGGCCGTGCCGCCCCCTCCCCCACGGGCCCCCATCGGGCGTCCAAGCGCAACCCCGACGCTCCCTGCCCGCGCGGCACGCTCGGCAGCACGGCGCCGCGGCACACGCCGCACCTTCCGAATGTCCTCGCCCACAGGGCCCATACAGCGCCTGCCGAGCTCCCTCCCCAAACACCCCGCCAGGCTGGGGCCCCAGACAGCCCCCGCCCCGCCGGACCCACAAACCGGCCACCCGGAAAACCCCTCGCCCCCGCCCCCGAACGACGACCGCGCACAGCACATCACACCAGCAGCAAAGAACGTCCACCCCCCAAGCACCAAACCGTCGAAGGTGTTCCCAACCCACCGCGCCCCGGGCCAGCAACGAAGCGAGTAGCCGACGCCGTGCAGGCCTCCCCGTTCCTCACCACCGCCCGCCCCAACCAAACGCGCCCCGCCAACTCGCCCCCGCCCGCAGGGCGAGTCCCCCCATCCCCCGGAGCCGCCGGGCGCCGACAACCACCGCACACAACTTGCCCGGCCAACACCGCGAGCGAAGCCCTCGCCCCCAGCCAAACCCCCCTGCCCCCCGCAGCCCTCCGGCCGCGCCCCTCCTCTACGCAGCCGCCCCGCGGCCGCCCCCCCCCCCGCACGGCTATCCGCGGCCCCGGACGCACCCAGACCCCTCCCCACGCCCCTACCCACATCGCCACAGAGCCCACCCACCCGCGACCGCCACGCTCGTAGCCCCCCACATCTCCGCCCGCGCACCCTTGCGGCCACAAACCACAGCCACCCCCAGGCCGCGCCGCTGCACCCCCCCCCGCTGTACCGGCCGCGCGAGCCCGAGCCCCCCTCGCCCGCCCGCGCCTCCCCGCGCCCGTTTGGCCTCCCACCAGGCTAATGGCCCACCATGCAAGGCACCTCCCCCTCCGCTACGCCGTTCAGCCCCCACTCCCTCCCTCCCTGCCCACCCGACTACAGAAGCCAGCGCCCCCCAGTGTCCGCGGCCGCTGCACCCCCCCCGCCCACGCTCCACCAAACCCCTCCACCCCATGCCCCCCGCACGACCCTTTCCAGTCCCTAGATCTGGCCCGCACCCGCCCAGCCCCTCGCGCCCCACGCCAGGCCCATATGCCCCAACAGGCCCAGCCACCCCCTCGCCACCAACTCCCCCCCCACTCTGCTGCCTACTGCGACACGGCCCCGCCTGCTACCGCCCCCCCAACCGTCACACACTCTAGCCCTAGCCCGCCCTAACGCCCCCCCCCCCCCCCACCCCGACCACGCGTGCCCTAACCCAGACCCTCCCTCGAGAGGCGCCCATCTCTCCCCCCACCCAAACCCAACGCGCCCGGCCCCACCCGCCCACATCTCCCCGCCCTGGCCTACCCCGCCCCGCCCGCCCCCACCCCGTGCACCACCCTGCCCGCCTGCGACCGCTAATGCGCCTATGCCCCATCCGCCGCGCCCGCCCCCACACCGGCCGTAACTCCTTTGAAAGCCCCCCTCCCCAGCCCCCCATGCCCGCGGCGCCCGCTACCCTAGCCAACCTACCCCCATCCAGCACCCTAATGCCAAAACGCGCCGCAGCCCCCGCCCCCCTGCCACCCGCCTGACATCCACGAGGCAAACTACGCCAGGCGCACCTGCCAGCGCGCCCCGCCCCCCCGATGCCCCCTTTCCGCCCGCGCCCCCCCCGGCGAAGCCACCCGCGCCGAGGCCAGGCCCCCCGTGCGATCCGCCCGCCCAGTAAGAGCTCGCCCTCCTCGACTCCACGCGCGATTGAACGGGACACGCACAGAGAAGGCCCTGGGAGCCCCCCCCTTCGCACCCCGCGGCCCCCGTCTCACCCAGCCGGGCCCGCGACCCGCTTGCGCCCGAATGAGGGACCACACCACCTCGGCCACGCCTAAGACCCACGCCCACACGCCCCCCCGACGACCCACGCCGTCCTCTTCGCTCATGCCCCGAGGTGCGCCGCGGCGCCGGCCCCGGTGGAGCCCGCGGCCCGCTCGTACACATCTAGCCACGTCTGGCCCCGCGCACCCCTGCGCCCACTAGAGCCCGCCACCTGCCCGACAACGCCCGCCGCTGTACCCCCCGCCCCGACCCCCGCACTCGGACTTCGCGCGCCCCCCCCCTCGGCGCCCCGCGCCGCACCTAGTGCGAAGCCCACCCACCCAATACACGGGGCGTGTCCCTGCCGCCACTACACGAGCGAGAAGGGTCCCCAGAGGCCAGGCTCGCACGCCCCCCACCTCGACCGGCAGAATGTCCTGCCCCCTCGGCCCGCCCCCTCGCCACAGCAGTGGTCGGTCCTCGAGCCCAGAACCCGATCGCCCCCCCCAACGCCCCCCTATCCACTTCATAACCACTGCTCCCGCACGGTACACGGCCACTCCCTAGCGAGCAAACCTACATGCGGGCGGTTGTGGTCACCGCAAAACGGCGGGCCACTCGACACCCCACATGCATGCGCCCCACCAGCCCACTGAAGACCCACGCATAGCAGATCCAGCGGTAGTATGGCCCTCCCGGCTGCGAGCACCGCTGCCCTGCACGCCTGCACCCTAGAACGGGGATTAACAGGCCTGATCGCACACCGAACCACTCCGGAAACCGCACGAGCCCGCGAGCCCACCCTGCCTTCAGAGCGGCGCGTCCCACCGGGAATCCCCAAACTTGCACCAACCGCCCGGCCCTCACGGCCGTCCCGCTGCCCGACAGATGGCCATGCCCCCCCCCTCACTCCCCTGGCTGACGTACCCCTAGTTCCCCCAATCCCCAGCGCTGCTGATCTGCCCACGCTCGCCGGACGCCCGGATCAGGCGAGCCCCTTCTCCTGCCCACCGGCCACACGGCCGCAGGGGGGGGGGGGGGGCTGGGGGTGGGGGGGGGGGGGGGGGGGGGGGGGGGGGGGGGGGGGGGGGGGGGGGGGGGGGGGGGGGGGGGGGGGCCGGGGGGGGGGGGGGGGGGGGTGGGGGGGGGGGGGGGGGGGGGGGGGGGGGGGGGGGGGGGGTTGTTGAGGTGTGTGGGTTATTTTCTTTTTTTTTTGTTCTGTCTTTTTTTTGTTGTTTGGGTGGGGGGGGGATGGGGGGGGGGGGGGGGGGGGGGGGGGGGGGGGGGGGGGGGGGGGGGGGGGGGGGGGGGTGGGGGTGTATTAAAAAAGGAAGACCAGCGACTCCCCAGCCCACCCAGCCCCCTCGACCCCGCGGCCCCCACACCGCCGACCATGTCCACCCCCCCCGGCCACCGCACGACGCGGCACCGCCCCCCCATTACCTACTCGCCCCACAATCAGCCACTCAGCTCCCCATACCAAAATAGGCCCCGCCACCCCCCACGGCCACGTACACATCGCCGAAACATGCCCCCCCCCCAAGCCGCGCCACCCCCCGCCTCACCAACCACCCCACCACCGGCCGTAGCGCAATGTCCGCGCCCCCGCCCACCCAGCCACAATACGCCGCCACCCGCTCACGACGACTGCAGCACCGCCACGTCCCAGGCCACCGGCGCCCCCAAGCATCCCCCCACCCGCCCAAGTAGCACCACGCCAACCCACTCGGATCACCCTGCCCCCTCCGTTCAACCACCGTTCCCGGATCCACCACGACACCGAATCGCGTTCCGGCCCCTCACTTAGCGTGCCCGGCGCTCCGACCACCCCCGGTTTGGCCCCGCGCCACACTGCAAGGGCGGCAATCCCCCACTCCCGCCCTCGAGGACAAGGCCCCATCCCCCGCCCGTCCCCTCCAGACCCCGAGCCACCCTCTCAGAGTCGCACGATGCCCGCCTCTGCCCTGCTCCTACCCAACACCCCACGGACCCGCGGCGAGGCCCCCTCCCCCCCGGCCCCCCCACGGGTACGCCCAAATCCCTCCACCCCATGCCCCCTACCCCCCCCACCCCCGGCGGGGCCGCAGCCCGCGCCGCATTTGTCGTACCCAAAACCAGGATCCACCCGACCCCCCTCCTGATCCCCTCATGGCAAGTGCGCCCCCAGCGGCACACCCCAAGACACGCCCCAACAGGAACACCGTGCGCCCGTCGACAGCCCCGCCAGCCTCCCCGTACCACCTCCCGCCCAGCCGCGGGCGCCACGCCTGAGCGCACCTTGCGCTCCCACGCTTCCCCCCCTCCTGCTCCTCGCCGGGCCGCCTGCCCCTCCTTGCGCCGGAGGAGCCACGTAATGCCCCCACACACCCCCAGGCCCCCACCCGCGGCCGCCACCCCGTGGCGCCCGCCGCAAGCAGTGGGCAGTGCCCCACCCCCCCCCCCCACCCGCCTCACCCCTCTCAATTGCGGCGCACAGGGGCCCTACCCTCTCCCCACAACGCACTGCCCCCCTCCCTAACTATTAATACCCGACCACGGCCCCAACGCCCCCGCACCACCGTTGCAGACCCTACGCAACGCCAGCCCCGGCCAGCTGCCCAGTGGCCGCGATGCCCCCTGCGCCCTCAGGCACACCGCGCTCCAGTCCGCGCCGCAGGCCGAACGCCGGGAACCATCCGCGCACAGCGCGTACCCAGAAGGCCGGCCAGGCCGCACACTACGTGCCGTGCCTCGCAGGTCACGACCCCCTCCCCCCGCATCGGATAAGCCCTCCACCCCGCTCCGCGTCCCGACCTCCACAGACGGTCGCCCCACCCCCTGAACACCGCCCCCACCAACCACCCTACCCGTATGTCTGCAAGTCCCGCCAAGACCCACCCGCCACTTGCGCTCCCGGTCCCCAGTAGCCTCTCCGACCCCGGCGCACCTGTCTGCGCCCCGCGGTGCCCACCCCCCAGCCTGGCCCCGGGTCTTGCCGTCCGCAGCCCCGCGCAGCGCCACCCCTCATCCACGGAGCCCCGACCAGCGCACACCAGCCTCCAACCCCGTGCCCCCGTCGCCATAATGCCCCTCCGACCAAGCCTCGCTGACCCTTCGCCCCCCGAACAACCTGCGCTCGCGGCTACCGCTGCCGGACCACCCATGAGAGCCGCCCCTCGCCCACATGTACCCGTCCTCGAGCGCGCTCCCTCAGCTCACTCCCCGCGGTTACATGCTACTCGAGCACCAAAGCAAGGAACGCCTCCACCCCATCCAGCCGAGCCCGCAAACCGATGGGGGGGGCCCCCACCGGACCTGGCGTCAGACGCGCCGGAGCCCCAGCAACCCACAGCCCCCTCCCCAGGCGGCCCCCCCCGCCCCCACCACAACCATCCGCCAACCCCCCATGGCCCGCCCGGCGCTCACGCCGCCAGGCGGCTTAAACCCCACCACCCCCGGGCCGCCCCACGTCAGGGGGGCCCGCTCGCCCCAAGCCACCGAAGCCACCCGCGCCTGCCCGTTCACGCGCCTCGGGTCGCCCGGCCGGGTCAACCGTTAGAACACCCGCACCCCCCCACTCCGCTGCTGGGCCCCCCCAGGCCGGCCCAGTACGCCCCGACCCCCGACTCGCTCACACAGTCCGAACCGTCACAACCCCCACAGCGGGCGCGGCTCCACGCGCCGAGCAATCGCCCCACCGCCGCCCTCCGACCCCGCGGCGCGGCCCACGACTGCCGCCGTGGTCTTTCCCCCCCGCCAACCCCAGACCAAACCCCCCAACGGACAGAGGTTATGCGCAATCGTGAATGACAACGCACGCATCCCCACCAGCGCAGCCCGGTAGATACGGGCACGCCATACCCGCGACACCCCAGACGGAGGGCAAGCCGCACAACCCTCCCCCGCCGCCAGCCGACCCGACCGTCGGGCGACCCCACCGACCCGCTCCGCGCTGCCCCGAACCCCGCCCACCCGCCGCACGGGCGTCCCCCCGCCCCTCCCGGGCCGTCACGGCACTCCAACCTGGCTGTCCCACCCATCCCGCCCCCACTGAAAGAGGGAACAACCACCCCCGAGTCCTTTTTACACGCCCCCCCCGCCCCCGCTGAGGGGGCACCGCGCCCCGACAAGTCTAAGCCACGCGCACTGCCCCCCGGCCGCACCCAGGGCCAAAACCGGGCTATAGAGACGTCCTCAGCGGGCGCCGACCAGCTAGCTGCCACCCAATGGCCCCCCCCCAACACGCCGCCCGTTCGCCCCGCATTCACCCACCCCGCTTCAAGACGCCCCTACACGCCGCCGACAACATGCCACCCCGCCGGGCCGCCCACCGGCCGTTGACCCCCCTAGCCCCCCGGCTCCTCCGCACGCTCCGCCATAGCCTCCCCGCTCACCCCCGCCACCCAGCCGCGCCGTCCCCACCGCCCCGCACGTTCCCAAGCCGCGCCAGACTACGACGGTCTCCCCCCCGCGGTCGACCGAACCTCGCGCGCCCCAAAAGATCCGCCAGTGGCAGCCGATCCCCCAAAACCCCTCGACCGGCGCCCAGGACCGCCCACCTCTCCCGCCCGGCCGGCGGCTACCACAAGCACCGTCGCCCCTCTCCCCCGCGCGGTCAAAGCCCCCCCCCTTACCTCAGCGCCCACCGCCGCCACCCACCGCGCGAATAACCCTTAGCCGGGAAGCCCGGGGATCCGCCCCCCTGATCCACTTAACTGCCGCTTGCGCGAAGACGCCGCCCCCCTGTCCGCGCCACGCTTACGAAACTCCCCGTGGAACGCCGGCGTTAAGTGTTTACCTCCCGACGCCAACCCATCCTCGTCGCCGTAACGGCGACACACCCCCACGGATGGTCGCCAGCCCCCTACGTGGCCCGCCCCCGCCTCCCCAGGATCCAAGCCTGCAGAACCCAGCCCGCCGAACAACGACCCCCCAGCGCGACGACCGCGGGGCTGCCCCGACCGCCCCGAGCCCATACACAGGCGATTCCACGCTGGACTCATCCAGGCTCGCGACCCTGACGCGGCACCCGCCAGTAACCTCGGAGGCCCAGCAATGGCCGCACGTACTCACACTCCGCCCTGCCTCTCCCTCCCCAACTCGACCACCCGCGCACGTCACCTCTACCCCCGCGTGACGCCTAATGCTTCAGGCTGGGCCCTTCCTATCCCCCGTGCAGCCTGCTTGCTCGTTGCACTCCCCCGGCCACCCCCCGGGCGCCCCCGCCCACCCGGCGCGCAATACATCCCCGCCCCCAGAGCAGGCCACCGCGGGTATGACCCTGGAACCCCCCGGCAATGCGCCGCCAACCCTCCACACCTATTCCACCCGCCACCCCGAGACCCCTCCCCCACGCCTCCCAACGCCCACCACCCCCCCTACAACGCCCCTCCGCCTGCCTGACAGCAAAGAGCAGCCGCACCCCGTCACCCGGCACGGGACCACCCCCCAGTCCTTGTCGAACCGCCCGAGCAACCATGCCCACCCACCGCGCCCGCTTCAACCTCCACATGCCGTCACCGCCACCTCAGCCGCCCCCACGCCGCTCCCCGCCCCACAGCGCCTCGATCGCACCGACCACTTGGCCCCCTCAAACCCTACTGGCTGCACCCACACACCAGTCGCCCCCGGCAACGGCCCGCCCGGCCGCCGTCCCCGCCACCCCGACGGAGCCCGCCGTCTCACTGCCCCCCGACCCACGCACGGCCCCACCCCCTCGCGCCGCGCCACAGTCCAACCCCCCGCCGCCCCCACACCCGACTCCCACCCCGATGCGCGAACCCCCCCCCCAAGACCGTCTGGACGATGCGCCACCCCAGGCCCGCGAAAGGCCCCCCCTCACACACCGCATCTCCGTTTCCTGGCCTATGCCCCGGAGCTTGCTGACCCCCCGGGGGAGTCAACCCTTGCGCGAGACCCTGAGCCGGGCCTGAGAATCCGCGCACGGCCCAGAACCGCGCGCCAGCCTCTCCAGTACCTCTCTATCCCCAGCGCCGCGCGGTTTCGTGTGGGCGCCGCACTAGGCTGCACCCGCCTCCGCCATCGCCCCCCCCTCGGGACGCGGTACCCCCCCGCGCCCCCCCAACACCGCCCCCCTCCCGTACGCCCCCCGCGGCCGGGGTGTCCTCACCGGGCCCCCTGTCCGGACCCCCTCGAAGCCCCCCAACCGCGCCGCCCCCCCACCACTAACCCAGTGGCCAGCAGACGGCCCTGGCCGTGCCCCTCGCCACAAACCCACGCATCCCCCGCCCTGCCCCAACGGCCGCACATACGACCCCCCGACGCACCCAAAAATCCCGGTGGGGTCGCGACAAGGCGTTCGCCGCCCCCCCCACCCCCCCCCCCACGCCCCGCCCCCCAGCGCCTGCCCGCCCGCTATCCACGCGCGCAAGCCCCTACCCCCCAATTGCACCAACCCCCGGCCCACCAGCACAGCCTTAACCCGCTAACTCCCGCCTCGGGCCCGCAGTAAACGCGGAAGCCCCGTACCGCCCGCCCAAACGACACGCGGCCCCCAAAATCCACACCCCCATGCCCGCTTCCCAGCCACCGCGGCGCCCCCTCCCCCAGTCCAGCCGAACCCGGCTGCCCCGCCGGCCAGCGCCCCCACCGGCCGCCCCCCCCCCGGCGCCCCGCCCCAAACGCCGCTCCCCCAAAACCCCCCCTTGCGACCCACCCCCCGCACACCGCCCCCACGCAACCCCTACCAATAACCCGGCGAGACTCGCCCACCCCCCGACCGCGCCCAGCGCTACGCCCGCTGTCGGCCCTACCCACCCAGCCGCAGACCAAGCCCCCCACCTCACCCTCCCCCATCAACCGCCATCCCGCCCATGGCCCCGCTCCCGCCGCTGCCCCCCATCCGGGCCCGATGGCGCCTCCCCGCCCCGGCCCCGCCCCCCCCCACGTCCCCCCTCCATCCCGCCCTCCCTCCAGAGGGCCCAGGGCCCCACCGCCCCCCACCCCCCGCCGCAGCCCCCCCCACCGCCTACCCCCCCCAGCGCACGCGGCCCACCCCACCCCAGGGACCCCAGCCACGGCCATAACCAGCCCGCTCCCGCTCGGGCTTGCCGGCCCCCCGCGTCCACACCGACCTGCCGCTCCCGCCCCACCTGCCCCGCAGCGGATAACGCGCACCAGACACCACCCTTCCCCCAGATTACCTCCGGCCCCCCGCGCGGGCCCCCCCCCCCCCCCCCCCCCCCCCCCCCCCCCCCCCCCCCCCCCCCCCCCCCCCCCCCCCCCCCCCCCCCCCCCCCCCCCCCCCCCCCCCCCCCCCCCCCCCCCCCCCCCCCCCCCCCCCCCCCCCCCCCCCCCCCCCCCCCCCCCCCCCCCCCCCCCCCCCCCCCCCCCCCCCCCCCCCCCCCCCCCCCCCCCCCCCCCCCCCCCCCCCCCCCCCCCCCCCCCCCCCCCCCCCCCCCCCCCCCCCACCCCCCCCCCCCCCCCCCCCCCCCCCCCCCCCCCCCCCCCCCCCCCCCCCCCCCCCCCCCCCCCCCCCCCCCCCCCCCCCCCCCCCCCCCCCCCCCCCCCCCCCCCCCCCCCCCCCCCCCCCCCCCCCCCCCCCCCCCCCCCCCCCCCCCCCCCCCCCCCCCCCCCCCCCCCCCCCCCCCCCCCCCCCCCCCCCCCCCCCCCCCCCCCCCCCCCCCCCCCCCCCCCCCCCCCCCCCCCCCCCCCCCCCCCCCCCCCCCCCCCCCCCCCCCCCCCCCCCCCCCCCCCCCCCCCCCCCCCCCCCCCCCCCCCCCCCCCCCCCCCCCCCCCCCCCCCCCCCCCCCCCCCCCCCCCCCCCCCCCCCCCCCCCCCCCCCCCCCCCCCCCCCCCCCCCCCCCCCCCCCCCCCCCCCCCCCCCCCCCCCCCCCCCCCCCCCCCCCCCCCCCCCCCCCCCCCCCCCGCCCCCCCCCCCCCCCCCCCCCCCCCCCCCCCCCCCCCCCCCCCCCCCCCCCCACCCCCCCCCCCCCCCCCCCCCCCCCCCCCCCCCCCCCCCCCCCCCCCCCCCCCCCCCCCCCCCCCCCCCCCCCCCCCCCCCCCCCCCCCCCCCCCCCCCCCCCCCCCCCCCCCCCCCCCCCCCCCCCCCCCCCCCCCCCCCCCCCCCCCCCCCCCCCCCCCCCCCCCCCCCCCCCCCCCCCCCCCCCCCCCCCCCCCCCCCCCCCCCCCCCCCCCCCCCCCCCCCCCCCCCCCCCCCCCCCCCCCCCCCCCCCCCCCCCCCCCCCCCCCCCCCCCCCCCCCCCCCCCCCCCCCCCCCCCCCCCCCCCCCCCCCCCCCCCCCCCCCCCCCCCCCCCCCCCCCCCCCCCCCCCCCCCCCCCCCCCCCCCCCCCCCCCCCCCCCCCCCCCCCCCCCCCCCCCCCCCCCCCCCCCCCCCCCCCCCCCCCCCCCCCCCCCCCCCCCCCCCCCCCCCCCCCCCCCCCCCCCCCCCCCCCCCCCCCCCCCCCCCCCCCCCCCCCCCCCCCCCCCCCCCCCCCCCCCCCCCCCCCCCCCCCCCCCCCCCCCCCCCCCCCCCCCCCCCCCCCCCCCCCCCCCCCCCCCCCCCCCCCCCCCCCCCCCCCCCCCCCCCCCCCCCCCCCCCCCCCCCCCCCCCCCCCCCCCCCCCCCCCCCCCCCCCCCCCCCCCCCCCCCCCCCCCCCCCCCCCCCCCCCCCCCCCCCCCCCCCCCCCCCCCCCCCCCCCCCCCCCCCCCCCCCCCCCCCCCCCCCCCCCCCCCCCCCCCCCCCCCCCCCCCCCCCCCCCCCCCCCCCCCCCCCCCCCCCCCCCCCCCCCCCCCCCCCCCCCCCCCCCCCCCCCCCCCCCCCCCCCCCCCCCCCCCCCCCCCCCCCCCCCCCCCCCCCCCCCCCCCCCCCCCCCCCCCCCCCCCCCCCCCCCCCCCCCCCCCCCCCCCCCCCCCCCCCCCCCCCCCCCCCCCCCCCCCCCCCCCCCCCCCCCCCCCCCCCCCCCCCCCCCCCCCCCCCCCCCCCCCCCCCCCCCCCCCCCCCCCCCCCCCCCCCCCCCCCCCCCCCCCCCCCCCCCCCCCCCCCCCCCCCCCCCCCCCCCCCCCCCCCCCCCCCCCCCCCCCCCCCCCCCCCCCCCCCCCCCCCCCCCCCCCCCCCCCCCCCCCCCCCCCCCCCCCCCCCCCCCCCCCCCCCCCCCCCCCCCCCCCCCCCCCCCCCCCCCCCCCCCCCCCCCCCCCCCCCCCCCCACCCCCCCCCCCCCCCCCCCCCCCCCCCCCCCCCCCCCCCCCCCCCCCCCCCCCCCCCCCCCCCCCCCCCCCCCCCCCCCCCCCCCCCCCCCCCCCCCCCCCCCCCCCCCCCCCCCCCCCCCCCCCCCCCCCCCCCCCCCCCCCCCCCCCCCCCCCCCCCCCCCCCCCCCCCCCCCCCCCCCCCCCCCCCCCCCCCCCCCCCCCCCCCCCCCCCCCCCCCCCCCCCCCCCCCCCCCCCCCCCCCCCCCCCCCCCCCCCCCCCCCCCCCCCCCCCCCCCCCCCCCCCCCCCCCCCCCCCCCCCCCCCCCCCCCCCCCCCCCCCCCCCCCCCCCCCCCCCCCCCCCCCCCCCCCCCCCCCCCCCCCCCCCCCCCCCCCCCCCCCCCCCCCCCCCCCCCCCCCCCCCCCCCCACCCCCCCCCCCCCCCCCCCCCCCCCCCCCCCCCCCACCCCCCCCCCCCCCCCCCCCCCCCCCCCCCCCCCCCCCCCCCCCCCCCCCCCCCCCCCCCCCCCCCCCCCCCCCCCCCCCCCCCCCCCCCCCCCCCCCCCCCCCCCCCCCCCCCCCCCCCCCCCCCCCCCCCCCCCCCCCCCCCCCCCCCCCCCCCCCCCCCCCCCCCCCCCCCCCCCCCCCCCCCCCCCCCCCCCCCCCCCCCCCCCCCCCCCCCCCCCCCCCCCCCCCCCCCCCCCCCCCCCCCCCCCCCCCCCCCCCCCCCCCCCCCCCCCCCCCCCCCCCCCCCCCCCCCCCCCCCCCCCCCCCCCCCCCCCCCCCCCCCCCCCCCCCCCCCCCCCCCCCCCCCCCCCCCCCCCCCCCCCCCCCCCCCCCACCCCCCCCCCCCCCCCCCCCCCCCCCCCCCCCCCCCCCCCCCCCCCCCCCCCCCCCCCCCCCCCCCCCCCCCCCCCCCCCCCCCCCCCCCCCCCCCCCCCCCCCCCCCCCCCCCCCCCCCCCCCCCCCCCCCCCCCCCCCCCCCCCCCCCCCCCCCCCCCCCACCCCCCCCCCCCCCCCCCCCCCCCCCCCCCCCCCCCCCCCCCCCCCCCCCCCCCCCCCCCCCCCCCCCCCCCCCCCCCCCCCCCCCCCCCCCCCCCCCCCCCCCCCCCCCCCCCCCCCCCCCCCCCCCCCCCCCCCCCCCCCCCCCCCCCCCCCCCCCCCCCCCCCCCCCCCCCCCCCCCCCCCCCCCCCCCCCCCCCCCCCCCCCCCCCCCCCCCCCCCCCCCCCCCCCCCCCCCCCCCCCCCCCCCCCCCCCCCCCCCCCCCCCCCCCCCCCCCCCCCCCCCCCCCCCCCCCCCCCCCCCCCCCCCCCCCACCCCCCCCCCCCCCCCCCCCCCCCCCCCCCCCCCCCCCCCCACCCCCCCCCCCCCCCCCCCCCCCCCCCCCCCCCCCCCCCCCCCCCCCCCCCCCCCCCCCCCCCCCCCCCCCCCCCCCCCCCCCCCCCCCCCCCCCCCCCCCCCCCCCCCCCCCCCCCCCCCCCCCCCCCCCCCCCCCCCCCCCCCCCCCCCCCCCCCCCCCCCCCCCCCCCCCCCCCCCCCCCCCCCCCCCCCCCCCCCCCCCCCCCCCCCCCCCCCCCCCCCCCCCCCCCCCCCCCCCCCCCCCCCCCCCCCCCCCCCCCCCCCCCCCCCCCCCCCCCCCCCCCCCCCCCCCCCCCCCCCCCCCCCCCCCCCCCCCCCCCCCCCCCCCCCCCCCCCCCCCCCCCCCCCCCCCCCCCCCCCCCCCCCCCCCCCCCCCCCCCCCCCCCCCCCCCCCCCCCCCCCCCCCCCCCCCCCCCCCCCCCCCCCCCCCCCCCCCCCCCCACCCCCCCCCCCCCCCCCCCCCCCCCCCCCCCCCCCCCCCCCCCCCCCCCCCCCCCCCCCCCCCCCCCCCCCCCCCCCCCCCCCCCCCCCCCCCCCCCCCCCCCCCCCCCCCCCCCCCCCCCCCCCCCCCCCCCCCCCCCCCCCCCCCCCCCCCCCCCCCCCCCCCCCCCCCCCCCCCCCCCCCCCCCCCCCCCCCCCCCCCCCCCCCCCCCCCCCCCCCCCCCCCCCCCCCCCCCCCCCCCCCCCCCCCCCCCCCCCCCCCCCCCCCCCCCCCCCCCCCCCCCCCCCCCCCCCCCCCCCCCCCCCCCCCCCCCCCCCCCCCCCCCCCCCCCCCCCCCCCCCCCCCCCCCCCCCCCCCCCCCCCCCCCCCCCCCCCCCCCCCCCCCCCCCCCCCCCCCCCCCCCCCCCCCCCCCCCCCCCCCCCCCCCCCCCCCCCCCCCCCCCCCCCCCCCCCCCCCCCCCCCCCCCCCCCCCCCCCCCCCCCCCCCCCCCCCCCCCCCCCCCCCCCCCCCCCCCCCCCCCCCCCCCCCCCCCCCCCCCCCCACCCCCCCCCCCCCCCCCCCCCCCCCCCCCCCCCCCCCCCCCCCCCCCCCCCCCCCCCCCCCCCCCCCCCCCCCCCCCCCCCCCCCCCCCCCCCCCCCCCCCCCCCCCCCCCCCCCCCCCCCCCCCCCCCCCCCCCCCCCCCCCCCCCCCCCCCCCCCCCCCCCCACCGCCCGCCCACCCTCCCCCCACCCCCCCCTTCAGCGCGCTACTCGTCGCCCTGCACGCGGACACCCCCATCCACCCACCCCCGCCGACTGCCCCTGCGTCCTAGACTGCACCGCCGCATATCCCACCCGGCCCGCCCACCGCTCTCCATTCCGCCCGCCCATCCCACGTCCCTTCCTCGCGTCACCCCCCCGCCCGCTGCCGCGGCCTCGCTACTCCACCCGCCCCACTGCCCCGCCCACCTTGACCGCTCCCCCCTCGCCGCGCGTCGAGCCGGCAACAGAGCCTTTCCGCGACCCCGCGCGTGTAACCGACACGCGCTCAGCCCCCCCCACCCTCCTACCCTCCCCCACTCACCCTCCCTTTCCACTTCAGCGGAGACCCCCCCTCATGCGCCCACAACAACGCTGCCCGTGCCCACCCCCCACTCGCCCGTCCACCTCCCCCAGCGCTCCCCCACCCCCCGCCCGGCCTCCGCCCCTCCCCGGCCGCTCGCGTCCTCCCGGCCGAGCACCGTCTGTCCTATCGCCGGTCCCCCCCCCCTCAACTCCCCCGACACGTAACGCTCACGCCCCCTGCGCACCCGCGCACCCCTCCGCTCCCCCCGTAGCGCTGTGTTCCCCCCCCCCCTCCCCCCAGCCCAAAGCCGCGGGCACAATTGCCCTCACCCTCACCCCATCCCTCCCTCCATCGCTCACCCCCTCCGGCCCCGCGTGTCTCCCCCCCCCATTCCCCCGCCACAGGCCTTCGAACCAACCGCAACCACCCGCTTCTACCCCCCTCCCCCTCCCCCCGATACGCAGCCCCTCAGTGTGCCCACCCACAACGCGCGCCTGCCCTACCCGCTCACTGACCGAGCGTAACCCCCTGGCACTCCCCTATCTGCCTCGACTCATCCCTACCGCCCCTGGGCATACAAACCTACAGACAGCGCTCCTGCCGCCCCTCCCTCCCACCCTACACGCTATCCTCCTAATCCCTCCTCCGCCGGCCCACCCACACCTCCCCCCCGGTCCACCCCCCCCCCCCCCTTGCCCCCCATCTGCGCGCCAAACACGTCTTCACCTCCCCCAACCACCCCTGCCCACCATCACTATTCCGCCTCCACCCTGCCTCCCCCCCTCGCCCCCATCGGTGACCCTCGCCCACCTCACATGGCACCATGCCCCCACCCAGTCCAGTCGCCGCCTCCTAGTTCACCACCCCCGACGCCACCCCGAGCGTACGCTCTCGCCCCCTCAGCCCCAGCCCCCCACTCCGCAACCCGCCACGCCGGACCCCGAGCCCGCCCCGCGCTGGGTCCGTGCCGCCGTCCCCGCATCGCGTAACCCGCACTTCGGACCTTGATCCCCGTCGGGCAGTCTCCGCCCAAAATCCACCCTCCGAGCATCTCGCACGTCCACCAGCAGCCTCGAGCATGCAGCTGCCGCCCGTCCCCACCGCAGCGCTCGGTGCCCCCTCCAACATAATACATCCGCACCCACCCCTCCATCACCCGACCCCCTCCAAAACACAGGCCCACAGTAGCCAGGCCCCCCCGTCCGATACATTCGACCCCCAGGCCATCAGCCGGTTTGATTCCTCCCGCCCCTCGCCCAGGACCTCACAACGTCCTAGTCACCGCCCCCCCCAACCTCCTACGCCGGATCCGCACCCTCTCGTTCCAAGCAACATAGCACTAGTCCCCCCACCGCCAGCCCCTCACCCCGGGCAACCTAACACGGGCCCCCGCGCTCTCGCATACTGGCCCGCCGTCGCCCCCTCACACCGCTGTTGTCACTATTCGCCCGACCCACTTCTCCGAAGTCCCACAATTTCCGCGCAGGCCGCAAGACGGCAACACCACGCGTCAACAGTGTCGCCCGCCCACGCGCGCGACGCCGATCACCGAATCTGGCCCCACAACATCGCTTGCACCCCCCCCCCCAGGACTACTGCCCCCGCGCCCCACCCCCCCCTTCGCACCCGTCGGCCCCGGGATACAGCCCGGTTAGGCCGCCAAGCCGGACCCCCCCTCACACAGAGACCGGGCAAAATTCACGACACACTTATCGTAACTCGAGCGCTGAGCGCCACCTCTACCACAACCGGCAAACCTACAGCCTAAACCTACACGACACCCTCCCCCGAAAACACACCCCCCACCCACGCCAATGCGGGCCGCCATAGCTCCCCAGACACGGCACCCCCCCACGGCCTGCCACGCCGTCGGCCACTGACTCCACCCCCCACGGGTACACTGCCCCCGTGTCCCCCCATACCCCCTGCCACCTCTCCGCTTCCAGAGTCTCCCTCCTCCCCCGACGCCAGCAACTTCGCTCCCGGCACTTATCGGTCCGCGTCACTCGCCGCTCCAACGTCCCTCACACCCCAGCACCGCTCCCCCGCCTCAGCGCCCGCCCGAAAGCCAGCCCATCATACCTCCGATCCCCCGCCGAACCCTCCCCCCGCTCGCCACGCCCCAGTCCGGCGCACCCCACTCCCTGCCAACCCCTTACGCCAACCACCTCTCGGCCCACTCCCACGCCCCCCGCGCGGCCCACTCCCTGCCACGCTTTTTTCCATTCCAACGCCGCGAACCCCATCCCGGCCCCTGCCCCTCGCTACACCACCCTACCCACCCCTCCCCACCAACCACCCTCCCCCCACGCTCCCCCACCCCATGCCCCCCCCCTCCTTGTTCCCCCATCCAGCTCTCTAGACTACTCCTGCGCCTACCGTGTCTCGGCACCCCTCGGCTCCACCTTGTCTGCGGCAGGCCCCCAGCTGCGCCCGCAGACGCGCCGCTCGGCACCACCCCTCACCTCCTCCGGCGGCCAACCCGCGGGCGCGCTCGGCCCTACACAAGTGGCGTGGCGACCGTCCCGCCCGACCCTCCCTCCATCAGCTAACCCCGACTGCCCCCTCCCCGTCACCGCGCCCCCTTCGCCCACTCACCGACACATTCCCCCCGTCGAGCCCTTGAGACACGCCAAGGCCGCCACTCAGCCTCAGCCCGGTCTTCCCCTCAATGCCAAGCACTCCCCCGAACCATGGCGCAGCCCGCCTCCCTCCCCCCCGGCACCCGAGCCCACCACACTTACCAGTCAGTCCCACCTTCGCCACCCCCCCCCACACCCAGCCGTTAACCGGGAAAAGTCAAAGCCTGTCGCATTCACCCGCACGGCGTGACGTTGCTCTTCAAAAACCCCCCCCTGGGCCCTACGCCCCCTCAACTCACCCACCGTCCTACCGTCCCCCGCCACTCCCTCCGCGCCCCCCCCCTGGACCCCCCGCTGCCCTCCAACACTTACCCCCCCCCCTCCTCCCCCCCCCCCCCTCCCGGGCCCTAAACTGCTCCCACGACGGCACGACCACCCCCCATAACCGGCGTCTCACCCCCCTTTACGCCCGCGTCCACCCCACGTGCAGACAGTCCCATTGCCCCACCAGCACTCTCCTCACCAGCACTACCAGTGATAACGCGTCCTTAATGTTCCGGCTACTCCAGCCACAAGGCCGCTCACCGTCAGCTCCCCACCAGGCCGCCCCCCCCACCAATGACCTGCTATCCTCCCCCCCCCGCCCCCACCGACACTCAGACCGCCTCCACGAACTCACGCCCCCCCCCCCCCCCCCCACCCGCCCACCACCCGCCCCCCGCAACCCCCTTCCACTGCAGCTTGGCCCCCCACCGCCGCCCCGGCCACCCTCACCCACTCACCCCTCCCCCGGCTACCCCGTCGTGCCTCGCCGGCCCACCGCGCAAATCCCCCTACCGTTCTTCACCCTTACACTACCCCACGCCGGCGCACCCCCCCACCCTGGCCCTCCTCCTCTCCGCCTCCCCCGCACACCACGCGTACGCCTCGGAGCTCTCATCCTCCTGCGGGAACTCGCGCGCCCACCCCTCCCCTGGCTCCGAGCCGCCGACTCTGTCCCGCCCAACTCGACTTACCCTCCGACAACACCATCCTCCCTAATCTCGCCGCCGTCCGAGGGAAGCCCCGGCGCTTACGGACCCCACCCCACCCCGGACCGGCACCGAGCGGCTCGGGGACCTTCCTTCACCTCAATATCCCACTCCCCCACAAACCCTTATGTGCTACCTGTCTGAACAAACCCCCACCCTACTACCCACATTAGCCTCATAGCCCGTCCAGCTATGGTCAGGCCCCCCCTACCCCCTCCTGGCCCCCTCCCACCGCCCACCCCGCCGCATGGCCTCTAACGCGTACACGTTTCCCTGACCCCTACGGCCCCCTCCCCCCACATCGTCCCCGAAAGCCGCCCATAGCCACTTACCCCGGCCTACCGCTAACTCCCCTTCACGCACCCCGTCGCGCGCCCCCCCCGCCTCAAGTCCCTTAACACCCCAAAGATCAACTGTCCTCCCACGACTAACACAGACCTCGCAGGCCCTAATCGCCACGTGCAGACTTGCTCGAACCCAGCCCCTTTAGCGCGCCCCCCGCGCCCGGACACTCCCGAACACCTAGACCAGCGGGGCAAGTGGAACCCTCCCGCCCGCAGCCTCCTCATCGCGCCTACCAGGCGAGCAGCCCCACCCCAAACCCTCACCGAATCCCGCCCGGCCGGCCAGTCACTCCCCTCCGTCTACCCCCAAATAGGGCCTCCGCTCGCAGCCTGCGCCCAGCAACAACGACTGCCGCACGCACCTCCGAGACCCCCCCATAGGCCCCAGGTGAAAGTACCCCACCGCTCGAGGACATCCATGCTATCCCGCGTCCCCCCGAGAACCACCCCCCGCCCCCCTTACAAGCGCAACTAGCAAGCCTGCCTCACTCTCACTACGGATGGCCCAGTTCCTCCACCCGGCTCATAGCCATCGATCCCCCACCGCCCAATCCACCGAT